GGCTCCTGCCCTGTCCAGGACAGCGAGGCGGGCGGCCGAGGAGAAGTCGGGCGGAGCGCAGCCCCAGGCGGGCGGGCCGGAGGGTCGGGGCCGCGTGCCAGGGCAGAACCGAGAGTTCGGAACAGGGTCGTCGGCGGCCCGGAGCTGGAGCCGGCCTCGCCAGCGCCGCGGCTTCGCTTCCGGGTGAGGAGCGGGCGGGCCGAGCAGTTCCGGGGCGGGCGGCGGTTCCGGCTGTGCGGGCCGCGCCGCGGCTGCTGGTCCCGGGCGCGCGGAGGGCGCGAGCGGCGCGCGGGGGCCGAGGGGGCGCGAGGCGGCGGCGCGGGGTCTCTTGGCCCCGGCGGCGGCCCATGGGGCGGGAGGCGTGAGGCCGCGGCCTGCCCGGGGCTCGGGGGGGGGGGGGAGCGGGGCGGGGAGATGGATAAACTGACCATCATCTCAGGATGTCTCTTTCTGGCCGCCGATATCTTCGCCATCGCCAGCATCGCCAACCCGGACTGGATCAACACCGGGGAGTCCGCCGGTGAGCGGCGGGGGGCCGCGGGGAGATGGATAAACTGACCATCATCTCAGGATGTCTCTTTCTGGCCGCCGATATCTTCGCCATCGCCAGCATCGCCAACCCGGACTGGATCAACACCGGGGAGTCCGCCGGTGAGCGGCGGGCGCGCGGGGCCGGATGGAGGACTGGCTGAGGGCGAAGGGAGGGGAAGGGAGACCCGGCTGAGGAGAAGACCGGGCTGGAGGGTGCGAGGCGGAGGCCGGCCTGAGGAGAAGGGGGTGGAGAGGCGATCCGGGCTGCCGGGCCGGGTGGCCGAGGGGCAGAGGGGATGGCGAAGGGGACGCGCGGGTCGCTAGCGGGATCCCCGGGCGGAGGGGAGCTGCGCCCCAGGCTGAGTGCGAAGTGGTGGTGGGGCGAGGAGACCTGGGCAGGGCTGGCGGTCCTGGACCGGGGAGGGAGAGTGAGGGGAGACAGCCGGCGACCTGAGGGACCGTGGAGGAACGAGCTTAGTCCTGGACTTAAACAAACAAAAGTCAAGGTGGGAGACGGGAGGAAACTGAGGCGCACTGTGAAGGAATTAGGCACCCGCCGGGGAGGCTGGGGCCAGGAGCGAGGCAGCCTATGGAGTGTGAGAGTCACCCGAGAGCTGATGGTCGATGAGAGACCAAGAGGAGTCGGGTCCGACCACTGACGTCCCCCCACCCCTCCCCAGGAAGCGGCGTCCGGGGGAGAGGTCCGGGCGGGGCCGGGTTCATGGTGCCGGGAGCAGTGGTGCCGGTGGAGGGCGCCGGATGAGAGCCCCCTGCCCGCGCCCCCGCCCAGCCCCTGCCCACTTGGCAGTGTTTGAGATGCATGTGGCTTCCGAGTTTGCCTTTGACGTCTGTGTGGTTATAATTTTGCTTTATTTTAGGCCCCGGAGCTGTAATAACCTTAATAATAAACTTCATTTTTTGGAGCATCACAAAACGCTTTAGCGATCCTAATAGTAGTTTCAAAATTAAATAACATATTAGAGTTGCAGGCAGCCCAGTAGCAGTGCCTGCTGTAACACCACGGAGCTGTGGGCAGCAGAGACAAGGTGGTGCCCTCAGGAAAGAGGCAGGCATCTTTCTGAAGGGTATCCTAGGTGAATGCCCTTGCACGATTTTTCTCAGCTCGGGCCACCCTCCACCCTCCCACACACATACTCACTCACTCACTCACACTCACCCAGACCTGTGAGACCAAACCTTTAATTAATGTAACAGCTGCCAGGAGAGCTGATGGGAATAAAGGAATGAGCTTGTTTTCTAACTGCTTGTTCAGTGCAGATGAAGGGAATAATGGGGGGTGGGAATGTCAGACTCCCTCCGTGAATAATTTGTTGTAAGAATGTATCACTATGCTGTCAAACTTACTTCTTAAGTATTACTTATGGTTCTGTATTTATCCTGCAATATTTTTAGCCCTTAAAAAAAGCTGTGGCTGGGACATTTGTTGCTTCCTCCTCCGTTCTCTCCCCCATCTAGACCTAGTAACACAAAATCATGCCGTCATATTTACTGGTTATTAAAATAACACTCTAAAAATTTCTGCTCCTTTTCTTGCCTATATAGTCTTAGCAGAGCTCTTAATTGTAAAGCATATATGATTGTTATGTGACCCTATAGAGGTGTTAGCTAATGCTACAGTGGCAATAATTACAGTGGTAATTGTAATTACAATTACCACTGTAATATTGTAATATTACAGTGGTAATATTGCAATATATAAATGTATCAAACACTTTGTGCACCTTAAACATACACAATGTTATATGTTAATTGTATCTCAATTTTTAAAACTGTAAAGCATATAAAGAAAATATCAATGATTTAGAATTTGGTGAAACTATGGGCTTTGTTTCTGAAAATGCTGGTGATGTCAGTGTTAGTTACTTGTTTGTAGTTATATGTGTGATGTCCAGTTCATGACCTGTTGTTGTTTTTATCCTGATTATGTGTGCAGTGACTCCTTTTATGAGACTTTCTTTGAGACTTAACATACTTAGGGGCAAAGAGGTTCACTGTTCTAGCAGCTTTTTTTGTAAAGAAGTTTCAAGTGGAATCCCAGTGTATAAAATAGACTAAATGTCCATGGGAAAGATAGAATTGAGAGAGGGAAGAGAGAGATAAGTAATAGCATAACATTCCTGAGATGTTATGCTCTATTATATTTGAAAGCAAGCAAGAATAGGATGAATACAACTCCTTCAAATTAGGCAAAGTCATCCGCTGTGAGTTGCCTTGGAGATGGGAGGGACAGAAGTCCAAGGTTTGAAAGAAGTAGATGTTTGAAATAAATAAATAGTTGTGGAGAGAAAGCATGCCAACCAGAGACAGTAGGATTATCCAGCAGTGTGGACACTTCATTGAAGTCAGTGGTCACGAACATACAGTGTGATAATGGATCTGCTCTGTTGACTGTCTCTGGTAGTGCTACTTTGTCACCAGTGTGTGGTGAAAGCCAATAGAAGGCTTCATTCAGGGTTGGGATTTGCCAGATACATGCAACAGAATGACAGAGGAGCAAAGGCGTTTAGGGTGTTAGTCAAAAATATTGTAATGATGGCTCATGAAATCTTAGCTGGATAAAGAGTGAAAGGGAAAAAGGAGAAAGCCGGTATATTGGTCATTGAATAGCAGTTGGTACATGGTCAGTGGAATAGTTGACCTGGGCCCAATGGAGCTGAAGACTTGACTGGGAGTGACTGATACAGCAGAATGGAAGGGCGGGGCATTGTGGGCACAAAGTCCAGAGTGTGACAGTGGTGATGTGTGGATGAAGTGGCGTGGAGGCGGTGATTTTTTTTTTCTAACAGTTTCCCTTTTGCCATCTCAAGATACCCTTCAGTTAAATATTCTGTGGCTAGAAAGAGGAATAGGAGGAGATAGTAAGAACAGGGGGAAATTTTTCAAAATCGTATCTAACCGTTTTTTTTTTTTTTCCTTGGCCTAACCACTGTACTGGCAGGGAATTCCCTAACCCGTATTTCTTACGGCTAAATATGTCAGACAATAAGCCCCCCAAAATGTAAAATGAATGAGATGGTATGGTATGTTCCTTTGTTCACTCTTGTGCTTTTGCATTGTGATAAGATGCACCTGAACTTTGCCTAGTGTTTGAGCTTGTATGCTCACTGTACACTTTTACCTGGACAGATCCAGTCTTGAGTTTAAAAAAAAAAAATCAGTGCAGAGTTATACTTTCCAAATCAATGAAACATTTACAGGAAGTTCAGTTATGATCTCAGAGGTGACAGGACTAGCTTTATGCTAAGATCTGCATAAAAGTGACTTCACCTGGTAGCAAAAAGTTAATGTGTTGATTCCCTTTGGTGTGTTATACATTGTACAAAAGTCTTGATTGTGATGTTTTTACTGCAGTTTTTTAAATGAACAAAGTATATTTTGAAAATAGAATTCCTGGAGCCTGAAAGGTTCTGTAGAATGTAGTTTGAAAACCACTGCAGTAAACTAATAAGGGAAAGTTTAGGATTCAGATCCAGACTTTATCACTTACTAACTCTGTTACTTTGGAAAAGTTACCTAGCCTCTCTCCTTATAGTTCCCCTTCTGTAAAATAAGGGTAATAATAGTATCCATCTCAATGGGTTGTTGTGATGATTGAGTTAATCCATGTAAAACATTTAGAACAGTGCCTGACACATAGGAAGTGCTCAGTAAAAGTTAGATATTGTTATATTGCTGTTCTTGTTTATAACAGGTGTCAGAATCCCAATTTTGAAACTAAAGCTCAGAACTTATTACTGTGAGAACTGACACAGTTTCTTTATTAGATGTTCTTGGAAATGAAGAAACATCAAGAATAATATAGCCAGGCTTAGTGTAAGTCAAATAAATTTGTCTTCCCTCTTGGCTTTGGACTTCTCCATCACTGTTTCTCCTCTTTCAGTCTCTCATCTCCATATTCTAGTGTCTCCTCAGCTTCTACTTGAACTACCACAAAAGGAAATGAAATATCCCCAAACAAAAAGCTGAGTAGAAGAACTTCCTAAAATCGCAACCAATAAACTATATTACCATAAGATTATGGACCGGGCTTCATAGCAGCACTTTTTATAGTATTGGCCCCAATACAGAGAAAGCATGTTCCTTTAATTTTCATCTGTGTGTGATAGCATTTCCTGAGTTTGTTCTAACAGCTTGCGGATTATGCACAAACTTTTAAAGATATAATGACTGCCACCTTATTTATTTATTTTTTTACTTTCATTCTTTTTCTTTTTAAAATTGTTTAGATTGGATGTTAGGTTGTTTAAGGAGTCTCAATAACACCCTCTTCCCTACTTATATTCTGAACTAATTGAGAAGAAAAAAGAATAAGATAATTAGGAGCCAAAATATTATTTATTATTGAAAAAGAGGATATTGGAGAATGTGGCTTATATCCTTGGACAAGTCGCTTCCTCTTACTGGGCCTCAAAATTGAACAGACTTAACTGTCCAATCCCAGGCAGGACTTGGGACCAGCCCTATAAGACTTCCAGCATGAAAGAACAGAAGAGATGAATGCTCCCTTTAGGCAACTTGCTCCCAAGGGCAAAAAGTTGGACCACTTATGCCCAGTTTTTTCTCCTGAACTGTCAGTCAGATTAAGTCATTCCTCCTGATCTGAGAAGGATTGAGTGAGGGGACACAGATAAACTAAGATATTCTAACAGCCACACCTCTACCCTGCCCCTCATGGATAGAAACATCAGAAATGGGAAAAAAGCATTACCTGGTTGAAACCCAGGATATGGCTGGCATTTTGCAAGGAAGAATTTTCTTTTTCCTCAAGTACAAAGACTGGCAGATGCTTGGGGAAATAAAAGACTTTGTGGGGAGGGTTTCATTTCCCATTCTGTTACTCACTACTCTCTCCACAGGAAATGCTGGTAAACCTCAGATAGGGGACTGTGGGCTTGACATCTATCACATAAGAGTTCAAGATCTTTAGGTAGATCCTAGCCTACAAGTTGGGAGTCTTTGGTTTAAAACATTAAAATTACAAGCTTCCCAAGCAGACCCATTTATTAAATACTAGAAAATTGTTAAATAATAAACCCTTTCTCCGGAACTGTGGCAACTTCAGTAATCACAAAGTTGGTTTGGTGTGAAGGAGCTCTGTA